GTCAATCGAGAACGCCGCGAGAACCTACTCTCCACTCGACTCGACTCTACTCTACTCTACCCTACCCTACCCTACACACACACACACACACACTCACACACACACACACACACACACACACACACACACTCATACTCTCCTCCATAACCCACTCATCTATTGAGTCTTGTTGAGTCAACAATACCACGGCAACGTACCGTAGTAGTGTGCTTGGGACACGATTCCCCCATTTGCTGAATCATTCGAGGGCGACTGTTGTCTCTTTTCTTTTCTTTTCTTTTCTTCCTTCCCCTTTCCTCGCCTCTACACCCTACTCTCTACACAGACCTACCTTGCCTTACCCTACCTACTACCTCCGGCTTCGCTTTCGACTGCAGCCACCCAAGCTTCGGCTCCCGATTGTCAGCCTGCTGCCTCCCACCCACCCACACATACATCCGCTTGGGCGCCACTGCCGTGCCGTGCCGTCCTGTGCTCCTCTGTCGGACAAACGACAAGCGTTGCTGGCATACCTATCCGGAAGCTGTCCTACCACACACACACACACACACACACGCACATACACGTACCTATTGTAGTGTGGGCGCAGACTGGAGTGCAGAGTGCAGCGTCCAGTGTCTGGCCTGGCCTTGTCGATTGCACCCATCCCATCTACGGCTAGACCGCCTTTTCCCGAGCCGATTCCCGTCCCGGACGTCTGTTTGAGCCGGCGAATTTGAAAGATACTCTACTCTTGCTGTACGATTATTATTGCTATTGCCGCAGAAGGGAAGACGGTCGAGTCAGGACGCGGGATTCCCATCCGTACAACACTAGTACTCTACTACGGTAGTTGTCATCACTGTGCAGCCCTGTGGCCTGCACCTTGGCCTGGAGCCCGGAGCCTGTAACAGCTGGATTGGGCCAGTGTGGTAGTTAGTCTACCAGACTACGAGAAGAGGCCTGTCTCTACTCTACTCTTACCACTCTTATACCACTCGCTCTTGCTACTCTTGGCCTCTCGACTCTCTCCGAGGTCTTGACCAGCAAGGCTGAAGAGCAAGGACGGCCAGGTCGCCACTACCTTTTTTGCCGACTGCTTTGGAGTCACCAATTAGGAGTACCAAGGGCTCTTTCCCTTTTGCGCATCGCTCCTGCCCCGCCCTGCAGCTGGCAAGCCCACCACACCCCACCCTCTTGCCTCTCAGCAGCTGTCAGCCCTCACACAAGGCGGCGTTTGCCTGCCTGCCCTTGCCTGTTTCGGTCTGCCGACAACCAACCCCCTTGACCCTTACCAAATCCCCCAATCACCGGTCAACCCCCACCTTCTTTTCCAACCACCTCACAGCTGCCCAAGGGCCCAGCACCTTTCTCCTTCCCTTGCTGCCCGCCCAGCCCGCCTCGTTGTCCGCTGTCCCAACTGCATTGCCTCGCATTGCCTCGCCCTCGCCTGCCGCCGTTTTACTCTCACAAGAAAGAACCGCTTTGGGCATCACCACACTTACTGCCACCACTATCACTACCACTACCACTACCACCACCACCGCCGCCGTCGCCGCCGCCGCCACTGCTCACACCTTCTCCCGCCCTCCCTCCTCTTCCCCTCCTTACCCCCACCTCCACCTCCACCACCGCTCGTCTCCCTCGCAACCCAACGCAAGGAAGAAAGAAAACGCGCACGCACTCCTCGGCCCTTTCTCTGGTAGAACAGGCTCGAGTCCCGTTTCGCACACACAACCAGCCTCATGCCGTTAGTCATAGCCCTCCCCCATCGTCGCGCCATGCCCAACTCTGCCTCTGCCACTGCCTCTGCCTCTGCCACCGGCTCACGGCGGTCGTCCTCGCGGCGCTCTGCCAAGTCGCGCGCTGTTTCGCAGTCGTCGCGCACTTCGCGAGCCACCCGCTCAACGGCCCCCTCGAGTGTCTCCCTCTCTCCCTCCCGCGACGTCAAAGGCGAGACTAACGTCACTATTCAACTTAGGAAAGGAATCACAATCAACCACCACACGGGCGACCAAGACTATAGCGAGGAGGAAGGCTCGGGCGTACAGGTCCAGGGCCACCACTCGTCCGACTTCACCTCCTCTGAAGAGGACGACGACGAGGAAGACGAGGAAGACGACGACGACGACGACGACGAAGAAGAAGAGGACTTGGACTCGTGGGACTCGTTTGGCGACGGCGACGACTACATTGAGGTCGACGAGATCGAGCCCTCGGATTCTGCCTCGCGGCCCCAAGGCAAGCACTCGCGCTCCCAGTCTCGTCACCGCCCCGCTGCCCACCCCCACCACCCGCCTCACCCGCCTCATCCGCATCCACACCACGCTGTCGCCCACCACCACGCTGTGCCCCCACCCCCGCCAGCTGCCCCGCGATCCCGTCCCAAGGCTTCTCGTCGCGCTGAATCGCGCCACGCAGTCCCTACCCCAGACCCGCCCTCGCGCCACAGGAGCCGCAGTCGAACCACACTGGCGCGCGAACACCGAGGCCCGCGGCAGCGGCCAAGGCCCGAATCCGTCCACCCTCCAGACAGTCTCGAGGATGCCGACGACGACTACCCGTATGCCCAACAGCCTCGAGCCGGCGCCCCTCCTGGACACCCCAGTGCCATGTGGAATCATGTCCCCCAGCATGCTGGCAACGGTTACCAACCTAGCATGATGTCCGACCCGCGCTATCAAGGCTTTCCAGCCCCCAGTGGAACGCAGTCACCCACCAATCAACTGGTGCCCTTTGGCCACGATCAATACTACCAGAATCCTTTTCAGCCAAACGGACAGAACCCCTTTACCGCTGGTGCGGCCCCTCCTGCCCCTCCTGCCCCTCATGCGCCCCCCCCTCCTCCTCCAGGCGCAGACCGTGGTGGCTACTTCCCGGACCATCAAGACCCCATGCGCCCAGGCCACCGAGGTCCCCGCACTCCCATGCCTCCGGCACCACCACCGCCTCCAGGTGACATGATGGCCTACTCGCCCGCTGGCTACTACCCGTCCTACGGCCACACATCTCCCTACGGGGCGCCTCCAGGGATGCCTCCTCCACACATGTACGCGGCCTATGCTCACCCCTCTCATCCCTCACCGCCACCCGAGCCAAAACGACATTCTTCCAAGCGCGGAACTCCCAAGCCCAGGCGTGATCGGAGCGACGATGAAGACGACCACCCACGTGAACGCGAGGCGGCCCGTACCCCTGCCCCACCGCCTCCACCGCCGCCTGCACCACCACAGACGCCTGGTATGCAGGTTGTCCAGCTGCAGCAATTGCAACAGATGCAGCAAATGGAGCAGCAAATGGAGCAGATGATGCGTATGCGTGAAATGCAGCAGCAACTCATGCCCTCGCCACCCCCACCCCCTCCTCCACCTGCGCCAGCACCGGCCCCCGATCCAAAGGAAGAGAGTATGCTCAGCAAACTCGAAGTCATTCTCCTGCGCAAAGACGAGGAAGAGAAGAAGGCGGCAGAGGCCGCTCGCAAGGCCGCCGAAGAGGCCAAGTTTACCCGCCTCGAAAATCTCCTCATCGCGCAGCAGGAAGCCAAGATGGAGAAGGAAAAGGCCAAGAAGAAGGCCGCAGAGGAAGCTGCACAAGCGGCCGCTGACGCGAAGAAGAGGGGAGACGAGGACAAGCTCGAAAAGCTCGAAAAGCTCATCCTTGCCCAGAAAGATGAGCAATTGAAGCGAGAAGCTGCGGCCGAGGCGGCTCGCGCTGCAGAAAAGGCCGAAAAGGATGCGGCTGCGGCCAAGGCTGCGGCCGAAAAGGATGCGGCTGCGGCCAAGGCTGCGGCCGAGAAGAAGGCCCAGGCCGAAGCTGCAAAACTGATGCTGGATGCCGCTCAAAAGGCACGCGAGGAGGCGGAGAAGAAGGCCGCTGCAGAAGCCGAGGAGACGAAGAAGGCGCACGAAAAGGCCATTGCCGAAGCTGCCAAAGCCGCCGAGGAACTGGAAAAGGCGAAGAAGGCAGCAGAAGAAGAGGCCGCCAAAGCAAAGAAGGAGGCCGAGGAAGAGGCCGAGAAGTTGAAGAAGGCTGCGGAAGAGGAGGCGGCCAAACTCAAGAAGGAAGCAGAAGAGGAAGCGGCAAAGGCCAAGAAGGCGCTTGAAGAAGAACAGGCCAAGAACAAGCCATCGGATGCACCCAAGCTTCCCATCAAGTTCAAGGACGCCGTTGGCCGTAAATTCAGCTTTCCATTTGACCTTTGCAAGACATGGAAGGTAAGTCAATCGGTCAATTCGGGTGTCGTTGCTAGTACTAACGTGCCTACCCAGGGAATGGAGGAGCTCATCAAGCAGGCATTTCTACATGTCGACGTCATTGGACCCCACGTCCAGAATGGCCATTATGATCTTGTCGGACCGGATGGAGAAATCATCCTGCCCCAGGTGTGGGACATTGTCATCCAGCCAGACTGGGCTATCACGATGCACATGTGGCCCATGCCGGAACCTCCACCACCCAAGCCCGATCCCGCCGAGGAGTTCCAGCAGCCATTCCCACCGCCACCGCTGCCCGACCACGCGATGCAATTCGCATCCAACAACCTTCCCCTGAAGAACAAAAAGAGGAGGAGCTCAAGCAAGAGGCGCGAGTCGGGGCACATTGTCCAAGTTCCGCCGGCTGCTGGGGGCCCTCCACCACCACCCCCGCCACCGCAGACACAACAACAGCCTGATATCGTGGTTGTGCATACCACTGCCAGCAGCTCGTCCTCGCGCAAGAAGCCTCCGCCGCCCAGTCCCTTTCTCAGCTGGATTGTCGGGAGCAAGCCGGCGAAGAAGAAGAAGTGAGGTGAAGCATCGGGGCTTGACGCTTCGTTCTTTGCTCATTTCAGCGAGCGGTCTCTATTTCAACTTGCGATGCCGGATGTTGATGCTTGTATCTTTTTGCCATGTACCTATTATATTCCCATTTGCACTTGGTTACCCCACGGGGGTGAGGTGTCTTGTATACCGGGCGTGAACGCGATCTCCACACCTTTTTTTTATTTTTCCCGTGGATTTCAAACACCCTTGGACCATTCTTATCTTTTTCTTTGGGTGCAGAAAAGTTCAGATACCAACACCAGTTTTGCGTTGTTGCATGTTGTTTGGTGTATTTTGGGGGATTGGATTGGATTGGACTGGGCTGGACTGGACTGGAGTACCCTGTTTTGCGAGTCTTTGAGGATTTCTGTTGTTGTTTAGCGGTTTGTGTTTTTTGTTTTTTGTTATAATTGCTCGGGTGGAGGGGTTGGATCGGGTTTGGGGAGGATGACGGGTTTGATGGATTGCTATGGGTGGATTTGATGGAGATGATGGGGGATGATGAGACGAACGTTAATGATGGGGAATGGAATGATGGTCTTTCTTTTTTGTTGTTTCTTTCTTTCTTTTTAGGTTTATGTTACATGTCAAGTTTATGTAGCGTTGCAGTTAGCGTTGAAAATGTTTACCCTTTATTCATTTATCAGAAGTGTTTTTGATCTTGTGGATGTGCGTGTAGATGTGAGTGAGGGGTGAGATTGCGAGTGAGTACAATTAATTTTAGGACCACGGGGGTTAACTTTCTTGCGGTGTGTGCGCGGGGTATGTGATGGATGATGGATGGATGGAGAGAGAGAGTAGAGGGATGGAATAGGGGGTGGGAGAGGGAGAGAGGGTTATTTGTACAAGAATTTACATACAGAGTAATAATTATTTGGTTGCGAGGTTGTATGAATGGAGGGGAGAAGATGGAGGGGAGAAGGTGGATATGCGGATACGCGGATGCATGGAGGGTTTCAGTGTTTGTGGTGTTTGTGATTGGGGTTTTATAACATTATCTTTTGCTTGGATGGGAATTGGGATTGGGAGGTGGGAAGAGGGAAGGTAGAGGAGGAATATCAAGAAAGAATTGTAGGGTATTAATACATAATTGTAGGATACAAACTTTGAACATTATATTTCGTGCTACTTTGTACCAATCCCATCTACAACATGGCCTCCAGCGTGCAGAGGAGTGCTGAAGATTTTTCCGCTTAGATGGGTTAGAACTCTCTAATTTACTACAACAATATACACACATAAATTACACAAATCTAACAATGACAGTATCAGTGTACAGAAGTAAATCTGCTAATACAAGTACAAGTAGGACATGCATGTATGCGCAAGTGACATTTAAGAACGCAGAGAATGAAGTGGAGTGTGGGTTGTTGGGTAGGATAGAGGGTGGTTGTAAGGAAGTATATGGAATTGTCTATACACTAACATCGCAAACGAGGAATATAGATCCTATGCAAATAAACGCTCACATGTACATCAGGGAGCGCAAGCCCTGTAACTTTTCGCATCTAATAAAATACACCACCGCATCGCACATCTAAACATGAACACCATTAATGTCAAACACAACCTCTCCCTCAAACCACGTCTTCGTGACCGTTGCGTTTTCAAAATCACCCTCGAGGAGGTTGCGGTCCAGGGTGATGAAGCTGGCCGTCTTGCCCACGGAAATAGAGCCATACACCTAGAATCCACGCATTAGTATGGAAAGCAGCAAACGGCGATTGAAAGTGAACATACCGAGTCTTTTCCAACCGACTTTGCACCATTGATGGTCAGCATCTCAATAATCTTCTCCGCGCCAATTTGGTCGACGAGATGCGAAACATGCGAGATGATGGAGAGATCCATGCCAAAGGCCCAGTCACTGCCCACGGTCACGAGGTTCTGCGCCGCCACCATGCCCGTCCAGTTGTAGCCGAGAATGGGTGGCTCGAACTTTGTCTGATAGTGCATGGCCGGGGACATTTCTGCTGTAACGTTGAGGTCGCGGAAGCGGACAATGTCATCTATCAATACCGTGGTCAGCACATGTGTCGAGTAACGCGGTTTTGAACCATTAGCGGGACTTCTTACCAGGTTGGACGGAAACACAATGTGCGATTTCGTGTTGGGGCCCCGCCGGGTTGTTCTCTCGTATCTCGGCAATCGTGTTGAGCGTGTGTCGAGCTGCGCTGTCGCCCAAGCAATGGATCTTACAGCTCATACCCGCACTGTCCCACTTCTCCAACTTGTCAGCAATGGCAGGCTCCAACAGCGTCGACGTGTCGATGTTGCCCTGTGCGTCGAGAGACGACATTGTATTTTTAATGGAGAATGGAGCGCCATCCATCATGACCTTGACGAAGCGGGTATCGACATGCGTACTCGCATACTCTTCTGCCATGGCAATGATCTCGTCTGGGTCCTCCCGCACTTCGCTTGTGAGCCATTCGTTGCGGAACAAAATGTGCGTCGAGTAGTCCATCTTGAGCTGGCCTTCGTGGTCGAGATCGCGTACTGCCTCGAGGAAGAGTCGGCCGGCAGCTGCCTCCTGGACCGATGTCACTCCGTTGCGGTGCAGCTCTTTCGATGCCCGTAAAAGTGCTCTCTTGACATGCGACAGTGACGGGCGCGGAACGCCCAGGCTCACATCGCCCATGGCTCTTTGCCCACTGATGGCCCCAGTCAAGGAGCCATCCGGTCTGCGGCCAAAGAGTCGTCGGTCCCCATCCTCCTCCCCGCTGACATTGAAGCCCAGCCTCTCGAGCGCAGCAGTGTTGAGATACTTGACGTGTCCGCCACCTCCGTGCACAAGCACGGGATTGTCAGGCCAATCCCCATCCAGCAACGAACGATCATAGTCCTCGACCAAATCCAAAACGCCAACAATCCAGTCCTCATACGTATGGTGAAACGCACAGGCGCCAAAACCCTCGTGCATGTGTCTGTTCAGCGTGCTTGAGTTGGTCTCAAAGTCCATGTTTACATCGCTGAGGATATGCAGGCCCGAATGGAAGGTGTGGACGTGGGAGTCGTGCATGCCGGGCATAACAAAGGAGCCGTTGAGGTCGACGGTGATGAGTTGCGAGGACTGGATGTGCCTGTTGATTTCCTCGGTCGAGCCTATGACGGCGAATTTGGCAGAGGGCGTGACGATGAAGGCTTCCGCCCAGGGTTGGTGGGCGTCGACGGTCCATACCTTGCCGTTGACGTAGGCGACACTGTCGAGTGGGATGGAGATATTTGCAGGAATCATGGTTGCTTTGCGAAGAAATACAAATTAACAGATTAAAGACTGTGTACTGATTGTACACTGTTGGTGATGAGGTGTGGTGGTCGATATTCAAACGGCAGCCAGATATCTTTATATCGCCACACCAGCTGACTTGAAATTTGATTCTGCATTGTCGTGGTCCTACATCATCCGAGGCTCTGTGCATAGCAGTAAGTCATCCCACAATTGGTAGTCAGGACGAAGTGTGGAAGAATGGTATACGGACTTTTGCCAAAGTGTGAAAGTCCGGACATGGCTCTTCACACCAGCGATGGGTATTCACACGGCATCTTAGCCACTGAGAAATAAGGGTCCTGCCTATTCAAGCCTTAGCAAGCCCGCAAATGTAGTCTTAGACCTATGATGAGGGAAACCTTCCCCAAGTTCCTCCTAGGCATGTCCACAAACACCCTTTGCCCAGCCCACCACACTACTTGCCGCATACAGCACTTACCTACGTCCCACACTCTCATCCGGTCTTGCCCATTCCCCGAAAGTCCGCAGCTACAATATATATCCGCGTTTAGTCAACGCAGTGGATCCCACGACCGTCGTGCAATTGCCTCATGGTACCATAGCGCCACTTGGACCCTAAAGCCTGGTCCTGCCTGTATTAAGAACATCGTTGGAGCAGGGAGTAAATATGCGTTGTCTGGCTCGTGCACAGGGGCTTTTTAGGTTTCCAACCACAGCCACGGTCGAGCGCGTTGCCAAGTGAAATGGAGAGGTGTTTAGAGCTCGGGTTGGGCGGAAGGTTTACCGGTACCGGTACCTACTTGGCAACTTGTGTTGGAGCAAATGCTTTGGGGACTTATAGTGTAAAGTACGGACATGAGTAATAGTAGAACACCCTGGTATTATCTAGGTAGTCTACGTCATATGTAGTGTACTAAATCCAGCGTGTAGAATACACATAGAGATCTTGTAGCTTCATTCTGACGTGATGATATGTCGTGCAGAGAAATAGACTAAAATCTGCCGAAAAACCGCCTCGCACATGGACGCGGCGCCTTCCGTACTACCCGATCGTAAACTATGTATCGGCGATATGTCGACCAACGAAGAGGCGCCGCACAGTCCGTTTATCATTCCCGAGAGCTTTTTACACACTGTGGTATCTTTTTTTCCGGGACGGAACACTTCGGCCGAGGGAATCTCTCGGTATAGGTACCGCTCTGGTCTGCAAAAATTCTCCTGCGATCTTTAATCTCCGTAGATACCGGCGGCACCGGTACCAGGAGTTTTACCAGTAAACCCTAAATAACTAATGCACACTGCATGAACCATACATAAGTTATGCCGCATTCTCCATCTTCCCAACCTTAAATTTTGTCTAAATATTGCTTTACGGCCGTGAGGGTGGAATCCAAGGAAACAATTTTTTTCGAATTCTCTGACGATAGGCCTATCTATGCATGCATGTAAGGAGGTGCTGCCTTGTTGGACATGGTCGAGCCTGGCGGATGACGGGTGCGGCAACGACGCAATACCGGTACCTACTGGTAGCGAAACGGAGGCTCGCGGCACTCTCGAAATGACAGCACACCTTATTTTCACGACAATTCTGGATAAATCTACACGGTTGGAATTCATAGCTCAGACCTAACAAGTCACTAAACATGTGGTAGTGATGGACCAACTCCACGCCAGTGTCGTCCCGTATGCGTTCGCTGTCGGCGGTGCTTGTCGCGACTGGTCGCGAACGCTTCCGCATGCCCATCCCTCAGCCCATCTTCGAGATCTTGAAACCGCCTGGCGAACGAGTTTGGAAGATACCTTTGGGGTCATACTTGGTAGCAGCAGCGCGGATCTTCTCAACATTCTCAGGACCGAAGCTCTTCAAAGGATTCTAAGAGATCTTAGTACCGATCAAAATTCTCTATGCCAAACACATACCTGATAGCTATCCGCGTAGTTCAAGTACGTCCAGTCCACCGCACCGTTCTTGCTCGCAGCGTACTCTCTCATAGTTTCTCCAAGCAGCCTGAGCTTCGCGCGTGCAAGCTGCTCTAGCTCTGGAGTCTTGACGGCAATGTTGAAGAGGAGCATAATGATATTCTCCGTCTCCTTATCGAGACCAAGGACATTACCCCCCTTGTCTAGGCCATGCTTCGCGAAAACAGTTGGGATGGACTGGAACATGCATTGGGTGATGAAGTCGCTGTCATCCGTCTCGGCCTTCCATTCGTCCACAAATTGTTCGTGGAGTTGGACAATCTTTTGGTAGATCTGGATGTCGTTTTTGAAAGACATGGTATGCCACACGTCACTGTAAGCGTTTTAGTATTGAAAACCTCTTCGGATTCCAGCTAATGGCTTACTAGTATCCTGCAGGCTGTTCAAGCTCATCCACCAGCTCCTTGTGGCTTGCGATCCTCATGGTTGTCACCGTCGCATTGGGAATGGCCATGAACATGTCGAACCCGGCTGGAGCCTCATTACCCGCCGTATCCTCATAGGCAGCGAGAATCACGATATCTTCTAACGCTGGAAGATAGCTCCAGAAGACGATGGAAGATCCTTCCGGGTAGTTCTCCACGTTATCAGTCCATGCGTGATATGCTTCGATGTGTTGTTGCGTAAGCGACTTGGGGTACATCATAGTGCCACCCCACAGATTGCCAGCTTTGAAGCCCTGCATGTCGAATCTCGTGACAATGCCAAAGTTGGCTGATCCCCCCTTCAAGGCTTGATGCAAATCGCTGTTTTCCTCGGCGTTCGCATTGACAACTTCCCTGATTCCTGTTCAGCTAGACTCAGGATATGGACGAGAGGCGATAGCATACCCAGTTGCAAGAACAACTTCAAAGTTCTTCACATTATCACACGCAAAACCTTTCTGCGCAGTATAAAAGGAGTTGCCGCCGCCCAAGATGAAGCCCGCGACACCAACCGTGCCAGCTCTACCACCGGCCACTGTAACACCCAGAGGTTCGAGAGTCCCATACACTGCACCCCATCGAGATCCAGGGCCGATAGAAGCAGTCTCGGAATCCGCATCCCATGTGGTGGTATTCATAAGACCGAGGTCAATGGTCACACCGTAATCAATATTGTTCGAACCGGCCCATGTCGTATGGCCGCCACTCCGTACCGCAAACTTCGTTTTCGTACAAGCAACATCCCCCACGAGTGTATTCACGGCCTTAGATACATCCTCAGTCGAAAAAGGCTGTACGATACATTCAGGTGTGAGCTGTGCGCTAACCGACCAGTACGACTCGGTGCGATTGCGATACCGTGCATCTTCGGCATATAGGACGTGAGACAAGCCGGCACTCTCGATAGCCTTGCACTATCGGCACAATGATTTGTCAGTCAATACATTTCGTTGGGGCCATATAGAAGATCCACTTACGCAAGAACCATTGGCGGCGTTGATTCCGATTGCTGCAGAAGCGACTACTGCGTAATCAAGAGCCATAGCATGCAGGACCAAGAGGGAGCTGAACATGGAAACAGTAGGCTTCATGATCCTTCGGGAAGAGTATGTGAAGAATGTTCTCAAGTGCGCGCACCTTCATCGAAAAAAGCAGCGCCTAGTCTTTTCAATCACACCCGCGCAGGCGGACAGCCAATAGCCTACATGCAGCTACTCGGCGACGATAAAGTCTTAGGAGCTCATCGATTGAGTCAGCATGCTTGTATGTGAGATCTAGATCTACGCACATCTTCACGGGATCGAGCGCACATGCCGTACGTGCGTGCGTGTACCATATCCACTTCAACCCACGTTGTACTCGAAAAAGATGGTATTTCTAATTTTCATGACCAAAATGTGCTGTGCATCATTCGCTGACTATACAATCCCAAGCTAATCACTACTGCCTAAGTCGTAGTCTTATACTTGGCGTGCAGCATCCCACGCTTTCCCTGCTCACTCAAAAATGTTTGTTCGAACACGAACTACCTATTAAGTGCGGCGGGTACCGTACGGTACCGCCACACCCGAAGTATCCACATGCAGCGTTGTGGGGACTTCAGCCTTGCAATCCAAATTGCTGCTTGCGCCCGTTATAAGGCCGTCTCCCTAGCTAGCTTGCACTTGCTTTTGCTCCCAGTAGGGCAATGTCAAGACGAAAGAGGATTATGACCACGTCGGCAGCCGAACAATGCCGCCTTGGTGAATATACTACTCCTGCCACATCGTATGATTCCTTGCTGTTTTGTGAGGTATGTATCATGGGTGTTGTTCTGCCTTTATTCTTGAATGTGCTGTGTGGATCAACGGAGCCGTGAATTTTATCAGAGAGCATGCATATTCGCCCCGCACGGTGAAGTACCTATGTTCACAGCCATATGAATCAAGACGACTGATCTGTGCTTCTGCATGTTCAAATGCTTCACTGAATCCAGGTACCATGCGCCAACTATGGGGTTCCAAGTGGGACTTTCATCCTTCCCACGCACCAAGATAATTAGAGTGCCTTGGCCACCGGAATGGCACCTTTCCGTAACTGATGGACTTGAATACTTTCTCCAAAAGATATAATCAGTGACTGAGGGAGTTTTGTTTATTCTGTGATCGGCAATATCCGAACAGTGGCCGAATGGCATTGCGAGTACAGAACACTGCTTCATTCGGTCAATGTAGACGATAGAGCATGATCAATGCAAGTTGACGAGGAAAAAAGAATGCGAGACATACTTATAGTCTATTGAATGCCAAGCGAAGCATGGAAAATTGGGAAGTGAAGCATTCATGAATCGGAGTATTAATACTGTTCATTTGAGTGACAGTTCTGTCTATTCTCATCCGTCTTTGCTTGTCTTCCTGAGAACTACGCCATGGCGGACGTTAATGGAACTCTTACCTTGGTACCGCCTCCACCCGGTTATGTTGTCAATTTCGAGAGCCCGCAAAGGCAGCTGGTAATCGAGACATACACTGTCACCGTGATAGAAAACATTCTAGCATTCCTGTTCTTATCGCAACGTATCTACACGAGGACTCACTTGATGAGACTTTTCGAACTAGAAGATGGCATGATATTTGCCCAAAGGTATCTGGACTTCCATACTGACATAAAGCAGTGTTTGTCATAATCGCCTGGGTGTTCTCGTCTGCCACACAGGCCGTCTTGCTCGTTGCATGGCATGAAGGCGTGCTGGGAGTACATACATGGGAGATATCCCTTGAAAATTACAAGCTATACGCCCGACTGATCTTCGTGTCACCGCTCGTTTATGCGCCTTGTATGGCTTGCTCCAAAGCCGCCCTGTGTCTTTTCTATCGCCGTCTGAACCCCAATCGATACTATCAGATCGCCGTAGCGGCTACACTTTTCATCGATGTCGGCGCCTATACGGGCATCTTCTTTAGCCTTCTCTTCTCTTGTCGTCCGATTCGAGCAGGGTGGGAGCCCCTGTTAGCACCTACAGCTGTCTGTATCAACCAAGGAGCAATATACATCGCGACCGCCGTTATAGGAATCGTGACAGATGCTCTGATCATTTCCATACCTATTCCAACGATTTGGGGACTGCAGATGCCACGAAAGCAGAAGATTGGACTCACGGCAATGTTCGGGGTTGGATCAATGCAAGTCTTGTTTGGAATCACATGGCTTGACGTAGGCTGACTTTGCAAAGAACACTAGTCACATCGACTATTCGTCTGAAAGTTCTCATCCCGGCATTGACGTCCATTGACCAGCCGTGGGTCATCGGTGAAGGAGCAATGTGGATGTGAGTCATCATGAAAACATGATATGGACGAAACTAACTGGCAACCAAGTAACATCGAGGCGAATCTCCTCATCATATGCTGCTGTCTCCCAACTGTCCGGCGTTTCCTCAAGCACGTCGCACCAACTCTGATCGGCGAAGACGGGGACAATGCATCGCCGCGTGAAAGCGACAGCCGCAGAAAGCGCACATGGGGCAGCATGGGCGGCAGACCCAAGCGCCGATTCGACACGCTCATGAACACCATCGATGATAGCGACGCCAAGAGCAATGTCCAGCTCGAAGAAAAGACAGTCGATAGCAAGAGGCGAAGCACACGAGAGGTACGCATAAACGGAATGCGTATACGGGGTGATGATGGCAGCGAAGAAGCAATATTTTATGAGCGGACGGTAGATGTGATATATGAGAACGTGTAGGGAATAGTATTAGGAGTAAAGCGCATAATGATCCAAGTAAAGGCATTTAACAGGAGATGTATGGTATAATATATTCTTAGACACTATAGTACAAAATTATTTATAGTAGAATAGTAACGTAGAGGTTTACTATATTAGTCTAAACTACCCTTATGTATACCTATAAATAGGTTTAAAGTAGTAGTTTACCTTTTTCTAGTAGTAATATAGTATAGTTTACTATAGACCTATTTGTAATAGGTAGGCACCCTGCCCACGACATAAATGCTACGTTATCCCCCTATCTTATAGTAATTAGCCAAAAGGTACGTATACGAATACTTAAGCTAAGTATTTCTTGTATAGTATAATATATATATCTTAGTTACGCTTAGCCTAAAATAATAGTGCTAGACTCTAGCGCTAAGCAATTAACCTACATATTATAGGAAAGTTATTTACTACTAGAAAAATAACTCTAAAGAGGACTGTACGCAACTAGCGTCGCGGAGGAAATAACTATGCGAGGAAAATTAAAACCTAAAACCTATTTCCTGTAAACCTAGACCTAAAACCTATTTCCTACAAACCTAGACCTAAAACCTATTTCCTGCAAACCCTACTACCTAAAACCTATTTCCTACAAACCTAGACCTAAAACCTATTTCCTGCAAACCCTACTACCTAAAACCTATTTCCTACAAACCCTACTAAACTGTTAGGGAGAGTAACCTATTTAAACAAGGAGAAGTAGGAGGGATAAGGTTTGATAGTAGTGATCCTATAGCAGAGGATATAGGTTTAATGCAGAAATATAAGTAAAAAGATAATATTATAGAGTTAAAGTAAAGTCCCCTAGAGTTATCCTTCCCCTATCCTCTAATCCTTTATACCTTTATACTATTTAATCTACCTAACTTTTTAGGCTAAGCCTTGTTTTTCTCCTATATATCCTATACTATAGCACAAACCTCCTCCTCCTTTAAGCTTAGCCCTATTAAGCTTAGCCCTTACTCTCCTCCTCCTAGTCTATAACCCTAGTTCCTAGCTTATTAAGCTTTAAGTAAGGGAGTAGGAGTATCTAGGGTCTCTAATTTTAAACCTAAACTTAATAAGATAGTTCTCCTCTACGCCCTTACTAGGCTTCCTAGATAGCCTAGCCCTAGGTGCCTAGATCCCTCTACCTTTTGTTCCTCTTTAATAGCTCCTAGATGCTTTTTAACTATATCTAGAGTCTCTAATTACTTAATCTATCTATTATACCTCTACTACTCTCCTACCTTAGTAGGCTATACCCCCTTTATACTAAAATAGGATTAGTCTAGTACCCTAGCTTCCTTATCTTTACTAAATATAAGCTTCTTATTCTTAACGTAGATAGCTTAATTCTTCTTTAACTCCTTTACTATCTTAACCTAACTCTTCCTAATCTATACTTCTATCCTTTCTCTATTTAAATCTCCTATTAGGTACTTCTAGATCTCTACCTTTACTAATAGGTTATCCTATTAAACCTAATATATAATTACCTTTAAGACCTAGGTTAGATAGGTAGCCTAGATATCTCTAGGAAATTGCTATTAGACTCTACTATATTTAACTAGGTGCCCTAATAGAGTCTTTAGGGCTATACTTATTTATAGGTAGGCTAGTATAATCTCTATATATATCCCTATCTCTAGCACCTCTATTATTATTATATTATCCTACACTTTTATATACTATAGTAGAACTATACACTATATTTAAGTAGTAGGTCTAGTAGATCTATATAGTATTACTAGGCTTATAATCCTTACCTATCCTTTTTAATAGATTTCCTTCTCCTATCTTACTATAGGGCACTTCTCCCTTAGCTCTTTAGGCTAGTACACCCTATCTTCCTATACCTAGATATAGGCCCTCTTATTCCTCCTTAACCCCTATATATTGTGGGAAAGTTATTTCCTGCTAGGAAACGACTCTAAAGAGGACTGTGCGCTACTAGCGTCTTGCAGGAAATAACCGTGCGAGGAAAATTAAAACCCAAAACCCATTTCCTGCGACCCCTACCACCTAAAACCCGTTTCCTGCGACCCCTGCCTAAAACCCGTTTCCTGCGACCCCTGCCACCCAAAACCTGTTTCCTGCGACCCCTGCCACCCAAAACCCGTTTCCTGCGACCCCTACCCTAACCCCTACCACCTAAAACCTGTTTCCTGCGACCCCTGCCACCTAAAACCCGTTTCCTGCGACCCCTACCCTAACCCCTACCACCTAAAACCCGTTTCCTGCGACCCCTACCCTACCTATACCACCTACTATACCTATCGCCTATACCTATCTATACTACCTACCATACCACCTACCATACCACCCACCATACCACCTACCATACTACCTACCATACCTATCGCCTATACCTATCGCCCGTACCTATCGCCCATACCTATCTATCGCAATATAATATCTTATCAATATCCCACCATATATATCAACTTATTGGGGTAGGGTAACAGTGTTCACTTTTGCCCCATTCTCGGTTTGCGACAGTTATGAGCCTAGTTAGCGCAGTGGTATTATCACCACATTTCAATGCGTATTGGTGTGGTGGCATGTCATATGACCATAGGTTTAGCGTTAGGCGACTTGGGCTTTACTCCGAGTAGTTAGAATATCCCTGTAGGTTCAAGTCCACGTTACAGCGGCAAATTTTTATAGTTATATAAACTAGCCTATAGTTAAGTATAAATTAGGGTAATTTAAGCAAGTAAACGTAGTTTTTATTACTATCTTTTTTAAACATGTTCTAAACCTATTCTTAATAATATACAGGCGTTCCTAAATACTATACTAGAGTTTAGTATAGCAGTACTAGATAACGTATCTAAACTAGATAGTAATATTAGAGATAAATTTAGGCAACTATATAAAGTGCTAGAGGAGGATAGTAGTAGTAGTATTAAGGAAGTAAGTAAAAGTAAATAGAACAAGTTTAGAATAGGTTAGTAATATATTACAGGGGCACAATATATACCTTACTTGTAGTAATAGTTAAGGACTACTACTTATACTAGCAATTATTAAGTATATAGCTATTCTCCTAGTATACCCTTAATTATATAGCTAAGGGTATAGGTATATAATACTAGTTTAGCAACATAAAGATAGCTCTTACCTAATAAGAGAAGAGGTGCTTATACAGGCTATATAGGTAACACGTTAAGAACATGTTCTTAAATTATTCTAATTCTAGTAGGTATAATACTCCCGCTAGTCTATCTATCTTAATAGGCCTATAACTTTACTATTCTTTAATAGCTAGCTAGCAAGCTAGTATAAATACTAATACTCTAGGGTAAAAGCGTGTAAGTATCTTAAGAACACGTTATAAACATGTTCTTATTACGTTGTTAATAATATATTATATAATTAGATCTAAACCTTAAAAAGTATAGTACCTAAGAAAATTCTACAAAGAGAACTATAAATAAGAAGCTATTATTATAGCCTTATTAAGCGCTTCTCTTTAAGGATTTATAAGGACTACTAGGTGTCTTATTATCCTATAATAAGGACTATAGTAAATTAGGTAGGGAGCAAAACTTAAACATATTTAAAACGTGTTAATAATAAGTTAGTAAATTATAGAATAGGCTTAACTATATATTAGCTATTAGAACTATAGCCTAATATCTACTACTAGGAAAAAATATTATTTTAGTTAGGTACTACTAGAGGTAGACTCTATATATCTACAAGGTCTTCTAACTAGGGAGATATTAAATCTTTCTAGTAGTCCTGCTTTATATTCTATAGTTAAGCTATAGTTAAGCTAGATAAAGAAGTGTAGTAGGTATATTACAACCTATTCCTAACACGTTCCTAATATATTCTAGGCGTTAATTATCTATAAGGGCAAGGATCTCTATTTAAAATCCTATGTAAAGTTACCTTTTAAGTAATTATACTAATAGATATAGTAGCAATACCTTTTTTTACTATTATTTCTTTTAGTATACATACATATATACCTCCTCCTCCCTTAACACTATCTAATAGTAATATTAAGGAAGTAGTAAAGGTGTTGTAGCCTATACTTACTCCGCAGCTTATATAATATAAGTTATTTGTAACCTATTATAAATATATTCCTAACTTATTATAGCCTAGTTCCTAAACTTAATCTAGCTCTAAACCTATCTCTAACTTAAAGGTTTCTATTCTATTAAAGAAATATATATTAGCTTTGTAAATAAAGATAAAATCTTACGTATTATAAAGCGTGAAAAGCTTCTATAGTTCCTATTTAAGAGTAGCCTTAAAGGAGTACACTATAAGTAAAGGATAAAGTATTAGGATCCTAAAACTATATATAGTATAAGAGAACAGGTTTAGAACATGTTACTAATACGTTACTATAGGCGTATATACAGCAAATCTTTATATTAAGCTTAGGTAACTTAATTATTTGCCTTTTTAAAGAGCAGGTATTAATTCTATTAGATTAAGATATATTCTAGATAGATATGTTATATAAGAGGTTATATAGGGCATAGGTAGAGATTCTAATAGTAATCTTCTACCTATAGGAAAAGAAGCGTATGTATTAAGAATAGGTTTGTAATATATTTCTAACACGTTATAGTTATTATACTTAGCTAAATTATTATAGATAAGGACACAACTAAGATATATTAAGTTACTATTACTAACTTCTTTTAGAAGTGTAAAGCACTTATAAAAAGATAAGTGTTATTAAGGTATATTTACTTATAGGGATTCTATAGGACTACTATTAATATATATAATAAGTAGATAATAGGCAAGTTTTATAGCGCACTACAACCTGTTTGTAACGTGTTTCTAATTTATTTCTAGGACTTAGGCGCTATCTCTAGTTAATTAATCCCTATAAGCGTAACTAGCGCTAGTAACTTTAATCTTGTATAAGATTTTATTAAGTACATCTATAAAGAAGTATTTATAAAGCATGTAAAAGAGAGCTAGATAATACTACCTCTTTACGTCTAAGTAAATTA